AAAAAAAAAAAAAAAACAATTGTAAAATTAATACCTTCTCAGCTTCGCATTGAAACTAAATTAAATATTGTTTTTCACTTTTTTGAAATAAAATTTTTTGAACTCTATTCTTAAAAAAAAATTTTATGGATTGATAATCATTTTACTCATCGAAAAATACGCATTTCAATAATAGAATAGGTGTGTAATGAGGCTAAATACAGCTAGGGCTGTTACGTTTTAAAATTTACATTGGTCTTATAGGAACGTTTTAATTTGTTAACTTGTGTTTTATACAGGTTGTTTGTTTTTGTTTTTTATATGTTTTTAACAACTCTGGGTACAGCTCGTACTGATTTACGTATACAGAACCTACGTTTAATACCAATTCTATGTATTAAAATGAGTATAACTCAATGAGTATAACCCAACCCGACCTATCAGAACTATTATTTTAAAATTAAAATGAAAATTTATATCAATTTTTTTAGAATAGCTTTACTTTAGATGTAATAATGTTTATCTAACAATAGAAAACAATGAAATTATATTTTACTTAATAACTTGACAAAGTATTCACTTATTGTCTCACTTATTACCTATAAGTGGGTTTTAAAGCTATACTAAGTAAATTATAAAGTTATCTTTGATACAAAAATGTTTAAATTAGCAAATACTTATTTGAGATTCAATTAAAAATATTAATAATATTTTATCCAATTGCCAATTTTGTTAAGGTATTTATAATTCATCTAACAGTATTTTCTTTATTAGTCAATTTTTATTAAGTCTGAGAAACTGAATTATGCAACAAAATTGTACTTTAATTTTAACATCACCTTATGTAATTAAGAAAAGGTATTTTCAGGCATAATTTAATTTAAATAAGAATTAAAAATAGAGAAAAAAAGTTTTTTAAACCTTTATAAAACCTCAGCTTTGTATATTTTTATCATTAGTTAAAATTATGATCTGCTGAACTGACATTTTCTCATTGTAGAGGTCGTAGATTTCTTTTTTAAAAAACTTAAATAATTTGCTTAAAATAAATTAAAAGTTATTTTTGAAATATTTAATAGTATATTTATTATGGTCTTTTTAAATTAGAGAATAGTTTCATACTAACCTGTTTTTAATATTAAAATAGCCAATTTTAAATTATTAAATTTAATGAAATGTTTTAACTAAGCTGCTATAAATAACATTACTTAATTTTTTCTAGACATAATGACTTACCATGGAATATTAGAAAATTTGTTCACAATCAATTGATGTATTTCAATTTTTCAACTGATCTCAAAACGGTAGAACCATGGTCAAGAAGCAATTGGTCACAAACTGATATTCCTCGACTTAAAAAAGGATTAGTTGGTGCTCAAGTAATTATATATAGTAAAATATATTAAAAATGAAATTATGTAGACATAATTTAACTATTAAAGCATTATAATAGTATTAACTACTCGTCAGTTAGTCAATATTGTTAGGACGTATAGGGTAGTTCCGTAAAAAAAATTAAATTTTTTCTTTTTCTCTTTAGAAGTTGTCGTCTTCTATAGGATAAATATATATCTTATAAAAAAAATATAGATATAGTATATAAATAAGTATATAATAAGAAAAATATAGTATATCGAAAAATATATACACATTAGAGATTTATAACAAATATATAAAAATGTAGTTGAGTTGCTTTTATGAAAAAAAAAAATTTTTATTTTAGTATATTTTCTGTTTAAAATTAATTGTGTGTAGTAGCCTAATAGAAAATATGAATAAAAATTCCATAAGTAGTATTATACATGTATACTGGACTTCACTGAGGAAACTCTCCCTCAGTGAAGTCCAGTATACTTGTGTGCAGTTGTAATGCTATTATACGATACCGAGCAGTTCATTGAGATGGAATACTCAATTAAATCTCACAGATAGATACACGTAAATAGCCTTAAAATATTTGTCTCGAGAAGTGGTAATGAAAAATTACTAAACGTGAAAAAGTTGACATCGTCGACTGATGACATTTAGGATACGGCAGTTTTTGTAGCTTAAATGATCAAAAATGGTATTTAAGTAAATGTATCGTTGTAATGTGTTTTGATACAACATCTTCAACCACAGAAAAAATAATGGGGTTTGCGTGTTTCTTATACAAAAGTTGGGAAATATTTTTTTTTAATTTGCTTGCAGATATCACATGTCTGAATTAGTTCCCGGGCTACTATATTTTAAGTGAAATCACCTTTAAATACATCAGGACTGAAAACTCGTTTTTTTGTCCACTTTTATTCCTATTAGATAAATATTGATAAGTCAACAATTGATATAGAAGATCAAATACCAGTTACTAATACAAGTATTTTCAGAACAAAGTTCAAGCTATCTAAACTGCAACAAAAATATATTATAAAAAATAATTCATCATTTATTTAATATAATATTTAAAATTTTTATACTTTATAATGTTATAATACATTTATTTAACTATAATACATTTATTAAAAAAAATGTATATTTCCAAGTTAAATGATTTAATGTCATTAAAATATGTAATTTTTTTGTATAAAATTGTTATTTCAACCGGTTTGGTTGACTCAAAAATATTAATTTTTAGTACTTGTTTTTTGTAATTTTATTTTAGAGCTATACTCTCAACTAGAAAATTATGATAAATCTTCCATAATTGAGAATATATTTTCTTAGGGATATATTATTTTCAAGTAAAAATCTATTTTGTTTATTAAAGTATTTTTCTGGAAAACACTTACACAAGAGGGATCAATTGTTCAAATTTTTTATCTGAAAATATTTATTTGTAAAATTCTATCTGAGTTTATCAAATAATTTAAAAAAAAAAGTACATAAACTATTTAAGTTTTTCAACAACTTTTATCCAAAACTGGATATAAGTATAGACTAAAGAGATTTATTTTTTGGTTATAGTCTTATGTATGTATGGCTTACTTTGTTGACAGTTTTGGTCGGCTTACGTGCCCTGTGGAAGACAGCACCTGGATGTTGTCCAAACCACAATGGAACAAATCGACGTCATTAGAAGGCTGGCTGAAAACTATTCCAACGATTTACAGCTTGTTACTTCGGTTAAAGGTCCGTCATAAATCGTAAACCACATTATATTTTTACTATTATATCTCAGAATATTAAAAATATTTTTTTTTACTCTTTCAGGGATACGAGAAGCACATAAAGCTAAAAAAATCGCTAGTCTTATTGGCGTCGAAGGTGGCCACTCGTTGGGTAACTCTTTAGCAGTTCTTAGAACTTTCCACAGCCTTGGTGCCAGATATCTGACGTTAACGCATACATGTGATACATCATGGTAATAATTTGATTGATGAATATAATATAATAGAGTCATGTGTTTAAGAAGTACAATATCAATCTTAGACTGTGTTTTCAAAATTTGTTATAAAAAAGATGTAACCAGGTTTCCAACAAAATTTGGGATAAAAAAGTGTGATTAACATTCATACCATAGTTTTTGACACTTCATTATTTAATTTAAAAAAAATTTGACAAAGGAAATCATTTAAGTAAAATATTTATTATTTTCTTTAATTCTTATAATAATTTATTAAAATTAATAACACATCAACTTATATTTTAGTTTTGTATCAAATAATCTTAATTTTCTATTAATCCATCCATTCATTTCAAAAAATTTGTATTTGTTAATAAAATTAAAAACACTATCCTGTTTTTGTATTTCTACCAAAAACACTTTTATTAAGATATTTTGAATAAAAATTTTTAATACACTAGAGAAATTTGTAAGTTTTTTCTAGTCAAATCTTTATAACTCTTATTCAGTGCTATTAAAAACATGTTTTAAAAAAATAAAACCTGTCAAATCATAATGAAAACAGTTCAAAACGTGTAAAATGATCCATAAGATTGTAAATTTTGAAATTTTTGGTGTTTTAAACATGCAATATTTAAAACATAAAAACCATGTCCCTTACTTCATTATATATCAATAAAAGACACATTTTAGAAATATCAGTAAAAAATTTTTAGAATTTTTATGTTTAATATTTTTGATATAGTATTGTAAATCAATATTTTATAGGTATTACTGTTGAAAAATTTCCAGTAAAATATATAATAATATTTTATTTTCTTGTAGAAGTTATCGACTTCTGTTTTAATTTTTTAACGAAAGTTCTTTATAATGAGGAAAACGAATACTTATAAAAGTTTGATCAATATAAAAATATATATACTTTTTATTGTTATAGGTACATGTAACAATAAAAACTGACAAAATAAAATTAATATTCAAGTTTAATTGAATACTTTCTTATTCTGTTGATATAAATATAATTTAATTAATAAAAGTAAATTATATTGTATGGTTCAACTGAATGAACCATTTTTTATGAACTATTTTTAAAAATATTAATTCACTGCATCTTTAACATTTTTCTGTGGTCAATAAATTACAGGGTAATCAAAGCCTCCTTCTGAGATCACATGAAAATATTAAAAATATTGCTGATTACTTCAAAGCTTATTGTATTGTAAAGGTATAATTTACGAATTATTTATCCCAATTAAAAAAAAGTTCAAATATCTTGAATAAATCAAAATAAAAGCTATTTTAAATTGTTCTCAATTATTGTTAATGAAATAAAAATAATAATAGTGATCCATTTTAGATTATTAATTTAAATTTAATTCTATTTCGACCTTGAAAACATTTATTACTAGAAAACCACAATTGCCTAAGGCCACTCTAAATCTATAAAATTGTTTTTTGATACTTAAAAATGAATTGACTTTTAGCTCAGTATTCATATATTATTCAACAGCGCTAGATATTTAATAATAATATTGTTCCTCAGGAGATTCATACTGTTTCTGAATTCTTAAAAATTACAATGAAAATGTAAGTATAGTAACTACAAACACGATTTCGTTCAACAAATAATAATGTACCACAGCGAAATATACGTCTTTTAATATTTCATTATGATCCATTAATAAAAGAACCAAACTAATATTTAATACGCGAATGTTTTTCATAAACGTTAACAAGACTGACATTTGTTTGTACTATATTTCTAGAAAAATGTCCACATGAAATGTGTACTTTCAGTAGACAAACTGCTCAAGTTACAAATGGCTTAAAGAAAAAAATTGTACTCCAATGTATTCACAATAAACAATATCATGTAATATTAAATTGTTTGTTGTTACACGACAATTGTATTTCTTCAATCCGAAGATTATGTTTTATTTTAATACACCACTCCTATAAATCTAAGATCCACTAGAGGGAAAAGATGAACTATCCAATAATGCTTTCTAAGTTGAATTAAATTTAAAATGTGTGTTTTATTTAATATGTTTTTTCAGCTTTCTTTAAGATCATTTAAGGAAAAAAATTCATAATAAATAATACGGTGTATTTCAATTGTCATGAAATAATGATTGATATTTAGCATTAACCATCCAAACAACATTGGGTGCAATAACAGTGAACATAGTTTCTTCTAGTATTACGGTGAACAATACACGGTGGTCCAATATGTCTGAAAAGTCTAATAACTTCTTTGAATTTTTTCACATTTTTCGTAAATTAAAAAATATATATTTTTTCTTCGATAAATTAAAATAACATAATTTTTATAAATTTTTCTCATAACTCTACGTTTGACAATCATTAAAAACAAAAGTAACGTAAAATCTAAACTGAATCAAAAGTTATTAAAGTTATGAGAACATACAGGACTAGTCTGTGTATCAATTGCGAGTGTTTGTTAGAAAAAGTACGAAAAGTTTTGAACAGGCGTTAACAAAGAGAAAAATTGTTAAATTAATTACATTTTGTTATTGCCTCATGCCTGTTAAGTGTTTTTTCAGCAAAGTAAATACAAGTGGTTTCAACGATTAAATTGAATTTACATTGAGGCAGTATTCTATATATTGATTTAAAACTTTATTAACTATATTATTATGACCAAGTAGAAAAAAGTACGTGTTATACATTTACTAAAATTTGCAATTGAAATCGAAATTTGCTTTTGGGATGGAGTACATAAATATTTTTAAATAGACAAACAATAATTATTTTTAATTTAAATATATTAATAGTGAATAATATTTTCAATAAAAATATCGACAACTCACAGTTCACTATACACTACAGTATTTAGTAATGTAAATAACAAAAGTCTTTTGCCATAAAAAATCATCAACACGTATAAAATACGACGTTATAATTGATAAAAAACCTTATGTTTTAGGGCGGGATGTTGTTCCGGCTTAGAATCACCGGAAAATAAACATCATGGGCTATCTCCGTTTGGACTGGTAAGTTTATTTTAAAATTAAATAACTAATAATTTATGAAATAATAAGCTTATCGAATTTAATTCTGTACAAACTTAATTATTAGACTGTATGTTGTTGAACTAAAAATAAATATAAATATGTAAATGAATATTGTCTTCGATTGCGTTTTATACTAATTACTCGACATGTATTCATAAAATACTTCAAACAAGTGTAAATCATATAAAAATATTATTAATTAACAATTTTTTTAATTGAACAATTTTAAATAATAAAAGTTTAATTATAAAATCTCTGACCTTAAAACATTTTGAGACTTTTTCATGATACCGCAATCCTTTAGGTATATAACTGATGTTATCGGGACCGCAATGCACAATGCAGCACGCCATTTATATTATTCTCACATCATTATAACATCATTGTGTCATATGTGTCCCATATCTTGACATATCAATATAACAAACTTAATGATGAATGACAGTATTGTATAGTAGGAAAAATCCGCAATGTTTTTTACGTTATTACAAAAGGATTTTAAGCAGTTTTTTTTAATTTTTTTAAAGTATTTTTTACATTTACTCAATTGAATTTATCCATAATATATATTAAAAAAAATTACTTTATTATATAATTAAGATTAAATTGATTTATTATCTCTTAATTAAGTATTTAATGATATGAAAATCAAGGTTTACAAAAGGATAAAAGAAAAAATCTTTGCAAACCAGTTTTATTCTGCAACTTAAAAATATTTATTTTTATTTTCTAAATAAGCTTAAGAGACTGGTCGGCCTAGTCTAGTTTTATTGTGATTTTCTCATGGGTAGTGTCTGATCGCTGGTGCAAGCCGGCCGTAATACCCGTTCCATCCATCATTGGCTTAGCCAAGAACTATTTTTGGCTTTTTAACATGTGAGAGAGGGCCATCATCCTCTGTAGAATGTTAAGTTTGGAAAATAGAAGAAGGTAAAATTTATCATTTTTATTTTTTAGTTAGTTTTAAGAGAACTTAATCGATTAGGAATGATGGTCGATCTCAGTCATACTTCTGTTAGAACAATGGAAGATGCACTTAATCATACTCTAGCACCTGTGATCTTTTCACATTCTTGTGCATATGCATTATGCACTTCTTTAAGAAATGTTCCTGATCACGTGCTCAAATTAGTGGTGTGTATTGATATAATATTTAATTAACAAAAAAACTGTACAGTAATTTAAGAAATATCAATACAATTTATTTTACAGGCCTTAAATGACGGCATTGTCATGGTAAGTTTCTACTCATACTTCATCAGCTGTAACTCTACATCGACGATGGAACAAGTTATTGGTATTTTTATTTAATTTTCAATTTATTATATGAGAACTTATAAAATTAAAATTCATTCTTATATTTAAGCTCATATAAATCACATTAAAAATGTGGCTGGAGAAGATCATGTTGGATTAGGTGCTGGTTATGATGGAATAAATCAGTAAGTTAATTACAATTATAAATAATTTTCTGCCAATTGATATAGATATAATAACTATATTTAAACTAAAAAAATAATTCATTTGTTTCAAGGCTTTTATAAAAAAAATGAATATTACTTTTTTATCAAGAATATGTATCACACACAACATCTAAAATATATTATAGTAATGCTTGAAAATATTTGTTAGAACATTTAATTAAAATACGTTTCCTCTGTACAAAAAACATATGATAAAAGTACATATTTTTTTAAATATATTGAGTATCGAAAATTTTCATTTATTTCCATTTGTTTTTCAAGAAAAATACTAGTACAATATACAATGATTGATTCATCGTTAACACTAGATTTCTTCTAAATTAATAATTATTTCGAGAATACGTTTTTTTGCTTCGTTTAGTAGTATTAATTCTCGATTTATAAGTTAATAAATATTTTTATATTAATGAAGTCCATATTAAAAACAAACACTACTTCTTTGTATTTACTGACACAATGGGATTAAATACAATAAAACTGCTGATAAATATACCAAAATAGCAGAAATTCAAACGTAGAACTATTAAACCATATAATATACAACGATATAAACAAATTCATCTCCATAAAAATACGGCGATGAAATGGAAAAACTCCAACCTAGGATGAATTGAAGAATTATAATTAATGAATTTAAATATAATTAATAGTCAACTTGTATAACATACTAGACACATGCATGGATTCCTCATGTCCAATGAAGACCACCACAGCTGGTCGATGATTATTTTTGAATAAGTATTCCGTTATTTATCATCACTTAATATAAGTATAGAATAAAGATGTGGGGCGAGTTATATAATTTTTATAATAATTAATAACTTATTTACACTTCTATTTCCATCCAGGTATAAAAACGCTAATAACTTCTGAAATACCGGTTCAAAGGTTATTATCTACTTGTCGTTATTTTAATTATCTAATTTTACAGCAATAAAGCTAGTAAAATATGTATGTTAATATTAAAAAAAAAAAGTTGTATATAGAATCATGGAATGGGCCAAAAAGTATTGAACCACTCATGAATCAAGAAATAAATACTACTATACAAAGCAAAAAAAATATTATTATTTTAGAAGAATCTAGTGTTTAACAATAAATCAAATATGTTATAAAATATATTTTACATTAATTATCATTAAACAAAAACATTTTTTTAACTTCAAAAATATACAAATTTTAATAATGTTGCTAAAACTTAAATTTATAATATATTAAAGCACTACACAAGGACTTGAGGATGTATCACATTACCCGTTACTGTTAGCATCATTAATGGCCAATCATTCATGGACTGAAGACCAAGTAAAGAAATTGGCTGGAAACAACTTGTTAAGAGTATTTTCAAAAGTTGAAAAAGTAAATACGTTTAGTAAATTAATTTCATTTTAATAATTTGCCACATTAGAATTATTGATTATTTTCTATATCAATAATGTCTAAAATTATTTTCTATTTAGGTAAGAGATGAATGGAAAGAAGACGGCATGAAGCCGATGGAAGACATACTACTTCCATTGAACAAAGAACCACTTTTACCAAATTGTACAGATGGTTATAATACGACTTAGCGTTTTACTTATTGTTTAACATTGAATATGTAGAGTTTTTATACAAACTTGGCATATACTATTGATTTAAATTGTGTTAAACTACTAAAAAAACTATAGAAGTTTAACATCACCACATTATTACATATTTCCAAAAACAAAATAGAACTTGATATTATATTAGTATATTTACATTGGTGTGTTCACAAAGTCAGATCTAAATTTGAATTATTAAATGTTAAACATTGTACAATTTCATAGTTAAAATACAATTTAGGAAAAATTAATTGTAATAATAATAGTTTTATAAAATGTTGAAAAATTTAATTTTTAATTAAAAACTTAATTTAATTATTAAGGTAATTTGTTGGGGTCTAAATTATGCATATTTATATTAAACCCACTTTCCAAAATGTTTTTTAATGGATTTCACAGAGTAATTTCTGATTAATTTTATTTCTATAACAATTTAAGAAATACAGATGCAGAAACAGTTTTTTATGGAGTGTATAGAAAATACCATGAGTATAATTATGGTTTTCCATCGTGAATTCTATAGCTATTTGTTGGTTACATTTCAGTGATCATTATTTATAAAAATTAAAAAATATATTAAATAAATATCTTCAAAAAAAATTTATATATTAACAAAATATTAAACATGTTCAATTATATGTCACAAAATTATAATACGAAATAGATAATTTTGTTTAATATTGGTAAACTTTTTAATAAAAGTGTAGCATAATTATTTGTCTTTTGTATAGTTCCAATCAAATTAAAACTTCTACTTTCGTTTTTTAAAGAGCTTATGAACTAAATATATATTGTTAAAATTTATTGAAAAGTTTAAAAAACATTTTTTTCGGGGTTCTTATGTTTTTAATACCAATAATTTCAAATTCTCATTAGTCTTATGAGACAATTTAACAGTTTTAGTTTGTTTACTTATGTTTTAAACAGATATTTTTTTTTTTAATCGTGTTTTTAACAACCTAGTTTTTTTGTTTACAGTTAATATGAATTTATTTTGTAATGGTACAATCAATTTAGTTAACTAAAACATTTAAATGATTATTTAATTGAATTGTATATAATTGTTGTTTTTACTTCACTTAGTAACGTTTTATTTTAAGATCATATAAAATATAATATCCAAACAATAAATGATACTTGAGTTTTAGCAATAATATTATACATTTATTTATTTATATTGCATATTGCTAAAACTTATTGTTAAAAAGTGTTCATTAGATTTTGAAAGTTTATGATGTTATAGAAATAAAATCGAAAAATATATCTAATTACTGATATATTATTAAGAAATTTGTATTGATTAGGTAAAATTAGAGTTTAAAAAATTAAATATATGATATATTAGTGAATTGATGTTTTTTCGATTAGTGCACTCCTATATGTATTTATGTTATATTTTTATTTATATGTATACAAAAAGGTTTCTAAATAAATTGTTTTTAACCATGGGATACGTAAATATAAATATTTTAATAATTACAAAAATTTGTAATTTTATAATTAAAAGTGTAAATAATATAAAATGTCTGTTCAATTTTCACCGTCTTTAAATTCTTCTGAAAAAATTATCCAGTTAAAAAATTTGATCTGTGTGTTATATTTTTGTTAAAAATATGTGTTATGAAACTATATTCATATAAATTAAATTAAAAATAATTTTTTAAATTAAGATGATTAATATCTTTTAATAGATTTGATAACTATAAATTATTAAATGATCAAAATCACGTAAGATACTTATTTTTCAGACACTGTTCAAAATTTAAATTTTCTGTAAAAAGATAAATATTTTTTGTTCAAAAAAGTCTGTAGCAATATGTAGTAAAAATGTTTTTTTCATGATTAAAAAACCTTAAATTTAATATCCTTAATAGGAATTCCTATTTTAAACTTATTATTATGATTGAAAAGACAATTACAAACAATTTTGTTTTCATGACATTTTATCCGATCTACTGTTCATCTGTTAAAACATGTTAAACTTAAGTGATTTTGGTAAAAGATTGTTTTTCACTGTTTCAAATACAGAAGTTTTCATTTTTTATGATGTCACATAAATCAATTTTTATTGAGTAAGACATGACACATAAAATATCAAAATAGAACGATAAGTTAACAAAAGTTTTCTTGATAACTACCATAGAAATAATTTCAAAACATGTTATTGCTACAAATTGTATTATAAAACCAAAGCATAATATATTTTTACTGGAAATCCAAATCTTTAAACAATCTTTTTTTAAAAAAAAACGGGAAAAATAATATAAAAAAAACAATTCTTTGTATTTTTTTTTTTTATTGTATTACCAAATTAAGTATAAGTTTAGTTTTAAATAATACATTTAACGACTTTTTCGAGTATAAATATTACAAAACAATTAATAACAAATTTTATTTTTTAATTTTTTTATGTTTAATGTTATAAAAATATTAAGAACTGATCGGAAACTTTTTATTTTGATGTGACATAGGTAACTACTGTTTTCTAACCTGATTAAGAAAATCATATAATAACTTCCTAAAATAATTCGTTAGAAAATTAATTTTTATTGGTAAATTACAAATACACTTTAAAATTAATACTATATTAAAAATATTATCAGTTTAAAGCTAAAAAATGTTTTAGCGTTGATAATGGTAACATTGTTATCGAAATACGTATACGCGATTTTTTAGTAATGTTTTGTGGCTTTTTGAGTTTAACATTTTTAATATAGTATTAATTTTAAATAATATTAGCCACAAGTGATCAATTTTTATTATACAATACACTACTTACTAAATAGTAAGTTCTTTATAAAAAATAAAATATATTAAAAAATAAAATTTTAAAATGTCTCTTAATATTTAAAAGTCAAATTAGAATTATGTTAATGTTTTCACCTTCCAATAAAGATTAAAATATAACAAATACAAATGTCTTTCATAACATTATCTTTTTGTAATTTTTTTATAAAGTTTCTATAAATATTATTCAATATTTTGTTGAAAATTGTTTCGATTTACCCGTCGTTGTTCTACAATTTGATTACCTAGAAAAAAAGTTAATCAGATTTTTTTGTAAATGTATCGCATGCACATTTGAATGTCTAAGAGTTTGGTTTATATATTTGAGAAATTTTAATAATAATTATATTTATTATAATAATAATAATATTTAATAATAATTGTAAATAATCACTAAATATAACATTTATAACATATTTTTTGACGAATAATTTTTGTCCGTTAAATAAAATAATAAATTAGTAGTGCTATCAAGTAGCATTAGTTATAAATATTTATAAACAAAACTACCAATTAAGGTTAGTTTAGTTAAGAATTTTTAAAGTCTCAAAATAATTTTAAAAAATGAAAATATTAATGCAATATTTAAATGTATGTACAGTGCAATATTAAAATACTTATGAGTAATAAAAAAAAAATTATATTCAAATAAATTATACAACTAGAATTTAATATATACTTGATAAAAGAAATATATCATATTTTATATATTTTACTGATACAATACCGGTAAAAAATAATTTGCCGTACAATATGGAAAATAGGCAAATTAATATACTCTTACTATCGTTGAAATAGAAAAAGTAATAATAAGTTTTAGGACATGAACATAATGTGGGAGATCGTGTCGAGTGGAATTTTAGGATAAAAGGATATAAAACAAATTAAAATTTACTAATAAAAATAGTTTTAAAAATTAATTTTAGTTTAAGTATCAATTTTGAAATGTTAATGTTATAATAATGAATGAAGTTTTTATTGTGTTACAATAATATAATTTTTCAATATCATTTAATACTAAGACTTATACTTAAATTAACTTTAAAGACTAATTGGATAACAAATATGTATTTTATTTAAGGGAATAGACCGCTTTAATTTATTCTCTTTTAACAATGTCTACCAAAAACTACATGTGCATAATCAATGAACTCCTTGTTTATAAGAAAAAGAACTGTAACTATTGGATGTGTGTACCTAATGAGTGAAATTCTCTTATTTATTTGAAGAAAATTGAGAGTCAAAACTTTTAGTCTAACACTATGAAAAAATACGAATAAACAAAATAATAATTCAACAACAATATTCGAATGAACCTTAAAATTGTAACTTAAAATAAAACTGCCGACTAACATCAGTTGCTGGTAAGTGTGACAGACCACTCTTTAATCTGGTACCAACAATTAAAAAAATCAATCAAATGTTTTAATGGACGGTAGTAAAGTTTCCCGAATTTAAGAAATAAGAAACTCATCCTGTAATAAACTATCTCGGATCATTTACAATTTGATTTCAGATTTACTTGTAAAAGCTCCCGAGCTAATTAATTTACTAAATGATTTTATTCTAACAATAATTTTTTAAATAATAATATTATTCTGTATTGTAAGCATATTAGTAGATATAAATAATTTACTATTCTATTTATTATGCAGCTAGATTATTATAGTAATTTAGAGTATAAAAAGTAGTATATACTTAATATGCGTTGACTAGACCTGATAATATTGACTGCACTAAATGAAAAACATTTTGTATTAATCATTTCAAAAAGTTAAATTGAAAAACTCGCGAAACGGCACTGGCAGTATAACATAATTACAGATAAATACAGTAATTAATTAGTATTTTGGTAGAACTCAACATCCAAAACAATTTCTATACAGCATTAGAACTCGACTCCAACCAAAATTATAATATAATTAAGTTTTTAAATACAACAAATTTTTATTAAAAATCTAAAAATTTATATATAACCATAATTAACAATAAATAATTATAAAATATAATATGTGTATAGCTAAATAGTCAATGATAAATAGATCAATAATAAAAAAATTGAGTCAGTATTACCAACACTATTACCATTCACTTGGATTTACGTTGCTTTATTTTGTGATGAACATCAAAGTCTAATTGATTATTCATCATTAACATTGTCAGTGCACATAACATGTGCTATATCAAAGTTAATTATAATTTTGGCTATTTGATTATTAAGTTTATTTACTATAATGACAAATATCAATAAATAGTTAACAGTGTTTTAAAATTTATATGAAATTAAAATTCTAAATACTTTTACATGAAAAAAAATCTCGAAAATTTCAATAATATTAAATTAATATTTAACAAAGTTATTTATTATTAAAGTTTAACAATATAGCTTATAATAGAATAGACAACACGAAAATCCACGCCTTTGAACATTTTTTTTACATGATTTAAAAAATCGTATGTATTATCCAAACTGTGAAGCTTTATTATTTTACTTTTAGTGGGATTGTGTTGTTTAGATTTATTAGAACTAGCAGAACTTCTAACGAGAAGCGAAGATTCTAAACCATTTAGTTCATATTCATCACTCACGGTAAAATTTATCTCATTGCATAGTGATTTCAATTTTGTTTTTATATCTGAAATTAATTGTGTAGTTAATGAATTATAATATGAATAAAATTGTCTTTTTTCACTTGAAGTAGAATTAGAGCCAATCATCGATAATACTGATGGTGCACATTGATTTGTTTTATTTGTAAAATGATCGACAGCATCCTCAATACTTTTCATGATAGGTTCAATAGCTGAAACATTCTCAATGTATAAAAATGTACTATAATCTTGCATTATTTCTAACCAGCGCTGAGTGAATTTAACAATATTTGATAATTTTTGATGATTGAGGTATAAAAAGTGTTTCCAAGTCAGCCTTAACATTATGACATTCAAAAGGTGAAAAATATTCGTATAATACAATTTATAAGATTGGAGATTATTATATGACCATTTTTCTAGAAACGCAACATTATTATAATTTTCCAAACAATTTCGGAAAAATTGTTCTTCATTGTTCCATTTTACTTGTATATTATACTCATTCATTAAACCACTTAATATATTTGAATTTACCTTAAGTGGTAACCAATGCAATTCAAACTTTTTGAAATTAAATGGAAACTTATTTAAATTTATATTGTTCTCAATCAACACAATCATATGATGAATATTATTCTCACGAAATAATTTTCTTTCTTGTGAATTAAGCGTAATGTAATGATCAAATTTAAAATTACTTAAGTCATACTCACTACCATTGGGACAATTAAGAGCTAACACATCCCATTTCAATATATTAATGACATAATTGTGAGTTTTTAAAATTTCGTTAGCATTATTCCATTTAAAAGAATAATTTGTTTGCTCGTTACTGTAATATAATAACATAACCTTAAAATAAAAGTGTAAAACCCATAAAGCTCCAACTAAAGAATTATTTTGATAGTATAATGAAGTTATTTGTCGTAACACAGAACTTTTATAACTAGTAACTATATTAACTATATCAAAAAAATCATTGTTGTTTACCGATTGTTGTAACTCGAATTGCGTATAATGCATGTGAACTAAACCACTTAACATATAAGAACATCTCAAAAGATTTGTATCATTATCATGATTGTAATAGCCAGTATAAAATGTTGATACGAATTGCAAAATAAAAATATTAAATATGTTTAGAATATATAATATATTTGTTATATTTTCAAAATACTTCATAGCTGTTTATTTTAATTGACTATTTATAATAAATTTAAGTTATACGTCAAGTTATTGAACAGAAATTTTTGAAAGATATGGTGACGCAACGTTTTATAAAAAACAATTTTTCATTATTTAACACGTAATCAAAGTTTTAAATTTAATGTTAAAATGTAATTTTATATTTATTTTTATACATAGTTACATGACTCACTATTCTGTAGAAATATCTATTTTCATATACAGAGTGATTTTTTTTAACACAACTCACTCGATTACTCACTGAATAAAAATTATTTAAACAACATTTTTTTTTTTTTTTGGTTACCTTTATTTATATCATTCCAAAATTATTGTATTTCAATTAAATTATGTGTTTCAATTATGTTAGTAATAGACAATTGTTATATGTAAATATAATAATTGCCATATAACAATATGTCGGGTATTCGAGGAAACTAATACCTTTTGATTTTCATCATAGATTCCAGTTTTTTAATTTTAACTATATTTTTTTCATTAAAATATCTTTTACTGAGGGAAGAAACTATTATAGACTTAACGACATTTTCAGAAAATTTAAATGAAAATAATATTACAATTATTTATTAATAATGTTACATATATCGATTATTCGTTAAAATATATTTTTTATCGTATATCACAATTAACACAACTAGAAACATTATCCCCTTGAGTCTTAATTTGAATACAATTTTAGAGTGAGCTAGAAGTATACTAGTTATACATTATTTTATTAATTTTAATGTAATTCGTATAAATTTTATGTTTTATAATTAATCAAAAATAATTATTATCTAGTTTGATATTCGCACACTAAAATGTTTAATTTTCTTACACATTAGAGAATTAAAGTAATACTAAACCTTTTATTCATACAAAAATATCATGATACTTAGCATCGATGCGAAGCTGAGAAGGTATTAGTTTTACTATGATGTGTTTTTTTTTATTGCTTTTTTGCAACTATTTATAAAAAATTAATTATTTTTGCATTCTTATTAGATTTTCAAAGCATTTATAAAATTAAATATTAAAAGATTATTTGGCGGCATAGATTATAAGATTGATATTATGAAAAAAATGCTCAAACTGTTTTGTAATAAGTAATTCATTATAAATGGAAATATCCTTTTGTTGTTTTATTCTACCACTATGTAGAATAAACTTATTCTTTAAATAAAATAAGTTATTTATAAATCAAAAAACAAATTTTATATTAATGATATAATTTTAAAAATCTTTTCATTTTCAATGTAATTATTAAAATAAATAAAAATGAACAATAACAGTTCATAAAAAATAAAGTACTTCACACTACCAACACTTTGTTTAATATAATCTCATTTACAAAAAAAAATTAATCACCAGTCATAAGAACTCTGTGTGGTTCATAATAGACGTTGGAGAATAAATAAAAAATTATTATTTATTATTCATTTTAATTACTTTTTGCTACCATTGTGTTAATTATGTTTTTATCATTTAGTGGCGAATTAAGAGATTTTTTTAATCTAAAAATTAATTACTTGAATCGTGACCATGTATCTTTTAACAATAAACCTTTTTTTCGCTAATAGCGTAATGAAATTAAGTTACACTACCTTATATAGGTTCGCAATTAATTTAAAAACGCTGAAAAATCTGAATTATTTTAATTAATGATCCCTAAATAAAACCGCGAAAAATTAAATTTACGTGAATATATCTACATTTATTTTTGTTGCTCGATTGGTTCTCCCTTGTTTGATTTAAATTTTTCAATTTTCTTTTTAATGTGAAACTAAATATTAAAAAAAATTGATTAATATTTTATTTTTAACGTGCTAAAATAGAGTAACTTAAATTATACAATTTTTTGATAGAAATATTATTTATTACTAGAATATTAAGCCCAAACCTACCCTAGGGTTTTGAGGTGATTACAAAATTAATGACAGATTAATGTGTTCTAGGAGGTTAAAATTAGTGATATAAAATTGATATTGTAACTACTTTATTTTATTGATTTCATAAACGCACCTACCATACAGATACTATGAAAAAAAAAAAAAAATTCTAAATAAAAACTAAAGGACAAAATAGTTTTTTGTTATATAAATGATATGAACGAAAATCTTCAAAATCTATGTTAGCCATTTTTATACGTTTCTTTTGCTTTGTTTTTCTTTTCGGGCTGTTTGCAGCCTGCAGGTAAAGTACCGAAAATTACGGGTATGAACTTACCTTTTTTTGTATAATATTCAGCTAACCCCTCCTCAATCGAAATGCTTGTCGTTTTATTAAACGGAACCTCTTACCCTTAGGGCGATAACAAAAAAGTCCTTCGGAGTACTTGCGTAGGCGTTAACAGGAAAAGAAACGGTGGGTAGGGATTCACGCGAAGCCCATTTTATTTGCCTCCCCGCTTTAGTCAGAAACTAAGCGGAGAAGGCGCACCACAAGAGGAGAACGGATATAGAAGAAAGAGAGAGACAGAGTCGGCAGAACGTATGACCGCGTGCTCTGCGAGTCGTGTGCGTATGTGTGTCTGTGTGTGTGTCGGGTCTCTCAGTTGCCGGCAAACTATCGACGTGTTGTATTGTACCGTGTGCGGTGGCCGTGTCCTCTCCGCGCTCCATCGCCGCCGTAACCCAATCCACACCTCCCCGGCCGATGCTCCCGACCGTCGGCGAGTCGCTGTGCTAAAGGGATCGTTGGCACCGCAGTGTTGTACTCGGAAAACTGGCACGATACTACGCGACCGGTTACCACGTGGTCACGCCGGGCCCAAAGCACGTGCAATAACCACCTCCACCACAGCAACTGCTCACGCACCGACCACTTCGGCCGCGATCTCGGTACCTATTGCCGGGACGGCTGCTGTGATAACACATATTTGTACAGATATCGCTTGCGAAGAGATAACGGTCGACAAGAAGCGAAAGTCAACGGCCGGCTCTGATATGACGTAAGGTTATGATTTTCAAGCGTTGGTAAAAAAAAAATGTATTTTAGAATAAAATTCACACAATTGTGTGAATTTTTTTCCAATTGCTTATTTTTTCCTATACCATGACCCTGTCAGAAATACAAATGATAATTTTACAGTCTTTATTGCTAACGTTGCAAAAGTATCGTTATTGTTTGTTTGCTGATACTGGGTTTTATCTTAATAAACATTTATGACTATTGGAATTTCTTGGAATTTTTCTACTAAAATAAAAAGTGATTAATAACTTGAATTTTAAATTGAATATTTGTAGATTTTTAGTATGCATACAGATATATATATATAGGTGATCAGTAAGTAAGGAAACGGGCTTTTATTATTCTCTTTGTTTGTAACAATTGACTTGTTTCCTTACTTACTGGAAACTCTGTATATGTGTGTGTGTGTGTGTATGTGTGTCTTAAAAAGGGATCAACCAGAAAAAAATTTCTTTTAATTTTCCTTCATTTCAGTTAAATATTCAACTAATGCCAAACAATTTTCTTGGTTATTTTATAATAATTACATTATTATCAACTACTTCAGGTCATTTTACTGTATAAAACTCTTAGTAAAAGGTACTTTTGTGGCTCTTTCATTCATTTTTTTAAATTAAAGACATTTGAACGTTAAACAACATTTGTCGAGAAAGAAATTATGGACCCATGATAAGTTATGTAGCTATAGAAGTCATTACTCCTATAGCTACTTAACTTAATTCTTTGATGATTTTTTTATAGATATACAAATTTATGTTAAGTACTGTTTTATTAATTTTGTGTGGCGCAGTGGATGAGTATATAGACCCATTAACAGTAACACACATCTTGTCCTTATATTGGTTTCTTAAGCTATAATGGGATTTCGTTAGGTTGGCAGTCGAAGTAAAAATATGTCAAATAGTAAGGAACTCGATTAGTTTAGATAGAGGCTAAGGAGACGATGTCTGATTTTTTGTTTTTAGATTTATTTTATTTCATGCATTATCTCTTTAGATCACCAAAAAATATTTTTTAATAGTTTGCTAGCATACATTTACTAAAGTGTTGAGTTTAAAATCATCAATTTATTACAAGACAATATCTGTTTTATGATGAATAAAAAGTTTTTCTATAAAAAATACAGTCAATGTAGGTAACATAGCAGTCACTCAACGCCGTAACTTTATAATTAATTAAACACCACTTTACCTTGTTTAAATACAATGAGAGGATTATACGAAGGAAGTTTTTAAAACACTTTGCTTTTACTTTTCAACAATGTCTTTATATTAATTTACTAATTTAGCGAGTTAAAATTTTCAGTGTTGAAAATACAATTATTTTTTAGTTTTAACAAAACTTAGCGTAGAGAAGAACAATTACTAACATAAAATCACTTTAGCTTATCGAGTTAAAATACTAATTCTATTTATTTATTAATCATCAAATGTATTCACATAATTGATATTAAAAAGTCATTAAAAATATTACAAGTACTTCTCTTTATTTTATAACGAGCACGTAATATGTAAATGTAAAGTAAAAAAGAAATGAAAAGTGGTTTATTGTTAAAAATTTATCAACCAGAAGCCTTAAAGAATGAAAAATTATTTTTATCTCAAATTTTTTTGGAGATCACTAACTAGTACAACGTCAATGCATGCTTCACAATAATCTATGATTGTTTACAAATGATTGTGTTTAAAGTACTGAAAAAACAAATAGACCAACGCTACAAAAAAGTTTATTACCACTTCATACCAACATAAACAATTGGGGTGCTTAAATTAATCAACCGATTTTGATCAAATTATGTAAAAATTATATAAAATAATTTGAATGGAAGTCTCAAAGTTTGTTAATCCAGTTCACACGATATGTTAAAGAATTCATTGCAACTAATAAAGTTATCTTAAAATACATTTCTTAAAATAAACAGATCTATCGATACTCGTAATGTAATTAATAGTTTCCTTATACTTCTTATTAGTAATTTAGTTCTCAAATTAACGTAGTTAAGAAAAATTAAAGTTTTTATGAACACACAAGTTAAAATTTTCGTTGTAAAGCAACTAAGCGTGAAATGAAACTATATTAAAGCCATATGTAATATTTTTTATTTTTCTCGTGTATAATAATACTATGCAGCATTTTAGCTTCAACGCAAAGTTCCATTTTTATTATAATCTATACAATTCTTAAAAAGTTCTTAGATAATACAATAAAGTTTTAAATTTAATTTGTCTTTCCACAAACGCCAATTTGTCTCGCTGTGTCCTATTTTAACTAATTAAAATTATTATCATAATAACTAAAATTTCATCTTTAGTATTTAATTTTTTAATATTTAATATAAACTGTATTTTACTTAAAAAATGATAAATTAAATTGATGAATTATCTTAAAAATACTATCCAAAAACGACACTTTTCGTAGTTGTAGTATTTCATTTATAAAAGAAAATTCAATTTTTATAATAAAAATTTAAAACTAACTCATATACTTTGTTACTCTAATGACTAAAATAAATTTCTTACATTAAAACTAACAAAACCTCTTAGATTTTGTAAGAATGGATTATACTTTTTCATATCTCAAAGTTATTATTATATTTTTTTAAATATACACAAAATGTTTACATAATAACTAACAGATATATTATTTATAACTTTAAAAATCAGGACATTTTCTACTTAAATATAATAATATTGGGAATTATTTATCTATAGAAGCACTATGGAAATGATTTACTTTAGATTTTAGATAAATTTTTCATTACTAAGAATTTTATTATCATCTGATTACTATAATTATTTAGTTATATGAAACAATTACCCAAATTTATGAATATAGTTTTCAATGTATCCAAACTCTTCGGTAGGCACATAAAAATATTCCTTAATTATATTAGAGATAAAAGTATTTATTTTTATTTTTAATTGGATCATAGCGATCATAACCAATAATCATTATTAGTCTTCGTATAAATTTTCTACAAATTAAGTCTTTCGTTGAGTCGTTGGCAATCAATTTATCATAAATTAAATGTCCACTAAGCAAATATTTATTTTAACTAGTTTAATTTTAATATGTAATTATACGCAAAACTGCTATAAAACATAATAACCACAATAATTTGTTTTTCTACTATTGAGAATTAAATTACAAGTTATTTAAGTAACATAAAATTAACTTGTATGAATATTTTAAACAAGTTTTGATTTATAAATGGACTGAGTTAAGTAATTTAATAGATTATATTATTATGCTAGTAGAATATTTATTTAATTTTGACATGTTACAAACAATCGCAGTAAATTTTTATTATGCTGGTGTCTTATATAGCCTTTTAAATGTTATTTTCAATGATTAATATTTTTACAAATATATAACAAAATAGTGTATATTTTAGATTTAACTTAGATACATAAAATTTCATGTAATTATTAAGTATACTTTGATAAATGATAACTTATAGCTTGTAACATAAAATTGATTAATGAATGTTTTTGATATTTTTTATAACTTGGTTACAAAAACATATGTGCTTTGATTTTATAATAAAAAAACACACACACACTTTTTGGTAATTTTTACACTATAAAAATTAAGAAACTATATTTTAAATAAAATTATAATATGTATTACTCAGATTATATATATAATTGACGTTTTTACTTGCACCATTAGTCATAAAAATTATGATAGTTAAAAAGGTTAACGAAATAATATGAAAATTAATCAGTATATTCAGAATATTAGTGTAATAAATTTGTTTAAAACAATAAAAAAAAAAACAAGATCTGATGTAAAATACAAGTACCGTGTTGTATATGTCACATGGGTAATGTAATGTTGTGTATAGTGTTATTGCAAACGATACACCTTCGCATTTTCAATTAACATCCGTCATTTTCATGTATAAAGTTCTATACAACCGTTACACCCAAAACAATGTGCATTTTTATGACATAGTAAACTTTCTCTGTGTAACTATTTTTCGCAGAATTATATTGTAAATCTGTGTTTAGTAAAAAAGATGCATATTAAGCATACACGTGTAGGGTTTATGCTAGAATAAAACATAATTACTGGTGTGCACAATAAACGCAATATTAAAATAACTTGTCACCCCAGGGTGTTCGTGTAAATGAAAACCCAAAAATAATTGTTTTTTAAAACTATGAATCACGTTTTTACAGTGAAATATATTTGAATATGGTCTTAAAAAGTTTATTTGTTTCAAATTACATTTTTTATTTATGAGGATACCTATTGTAAATTTCCATTGCCTCGACATGCAGTAGTATATTTAAATACTATGCTGAACATTAAAATATCTAAATATTTTATCAGCAATTCTAAACAAAAAGGAGAACTGTAATACAAATCTATTTACACGTGTCAAATAGTAAATATACATAATATGAGTTTTCTTGAAAATTTTTTTATAGTAGCTATATTTTTTAATTAACAAAAAAAATAAACCTTAAAAATGCATTTTACTTTTAATAATATATATTACTCTTTAATATTCTAAGAATATATTATTATTATTTTTATATCAAAAATAATAAATTATTAATACAAGAAAATTAAAACCACAATCAATTTTTAATAAACCACTTGAATTGTTACCAAGTAAAATTTGTAATAACTTTGTATGTTCATAATTATTACAAACTAAAAGTATAGAATTGTTAAATAAATATGAATTAAAATTTTCAGTAAGCTTTTTGTTTTTGTATATAATGAGTCTTCATTTTTCAAGAAAATTGCAGACAGTTTTGCTAAATTATTAATTTTTCACAGACTTGATGATTTCATCTGAGATTTTAAATTTATGCAGATTTCAGAAAATATTAATGAAAGACATCAACAGAGTTTCTTAGTATTTTCTCATTCCAGTTGGGTCAAGTATGATATTTTTTTAACAAACAGTAAGCCTTTAACTAAAAGTTTTATTTATTGACAAGGACTGTTATTAATTTTCATTAT